AGGATGGGAATGCGGACGCGGAATACGACGCCAAGAGTACGGTTCACGAACCCTTAGCCCTAAACCTTCTCTACGTGCGCCTTTGGCGCCTTTGCATACCTCTGCATGCATTCGTTCAAGGATAAGGGTTCAGATATTTAGGGCTTGAAGTCAGGAGCATGATTAAAACGTGGAGATATGCTGATAGTTTCGGGTTTGGGGCTTTGGGTTGTTGCGGTGTACGTACAGTGTGGTCAATCGTGCCAGTCAACAAGCCCAATGAGACGGGAGAGCCGTCGCCTCCTCCTGACAAGACGGTGTTGGGCGGTTTGTTTTCCACACGCAAACCCAAAGACGCAGGTAGGCCCGATGATTTCTTTTCATGTGTTTGTTTGTCTCCCGGTCCGCCTGATTGTCTGGCTCTGGGTGTGGGCTTCTTGTACGTGTAGATCTATGTACATGTATGTATATGGTACCTCTATTTATGCGTATGAAAAAAACATATATATACATGCATATATACACGCGATTATATGTACGCACTTGCTCACCCATGCATATGCAGACTTACATGTGTGTATGCGTCTGCATGCATGTGTACGCGTATGTACAAGTATGTACATGTTTATGTATGTAAGTGTATATGTAAGCATGCTTGCATGCTTGTGTATATCTATATGTGTATGTATAAATGCGATCGTATGATTACACATGCTAATGCGTTCGTGCAGTGCATGTATGTATGCATGCATGCATGATATATGTACTGTATGTAGTATATCTAGGGTATGTAATATATGTATGCATTAAGTATATATGTTTGTATCTTTGCTCATTGGTTTATTCGTCAGTTTGTGCGTGTACAGCAGAATCATTTGCTTCTGGGTGGCTGCAGTTTCAGGCACAAAGTGCTGTTGTTTGTTGCATGCAGGCGCGGGGCTGTCGTCGGGTTTGAAGTCCGTGGGGAAGGGCGTCGCGGTTGGGGCTGCCTCTCTCTTTGTTCTCCCTGCCGTGGGAGCTGCCCAGCAAGTCCGTCTCCGTTTTATCTTTCCTCGCTTTTGTCTGTTGCTCGGCTTCTCTAGTTGTCTTACATTCTGCTCGCCGAGCGAGGCTTCATGGGGGCGTTGCTGTCTAGCGCATGGGTGCAGGCTTGTAGGCATCGGCATGCGTAACCATGGACACAGCATGAGTCGTTGTTCATGCATGCCAGCATGCAGTATATGCAGGGTGAGTGCGGGGTGTTGTGTTCTGCGTGTGCAGGGAGTTGGGGGGTTCTTTAAGGGCATTGGGGCTGGCGTAGTGGCTGCTGTGACTTTGCCGATAACGGGAATTTGCATCGCGGGGTATCAGGTGACGCGAGGCCTGATAAATACACCTGAAGCGATTCATGAGAAGAGCCAGGGCAAGAAGTGGGACAAGAAAGAAAGGGTGAGACAGAAACCTTTCAGCCATCTGCACAAATGTGGCCGCCACCAATAAATCAAATGCTGGGGCTTGAAACATCCAGACGTTCCCCCTCACCTCCAGCGGAAAAAAAAAAACAGTTGTAGTACAATATTGTGCATTCCCCACAATGATATGCATCTGCATGCATTTGCATGCATTTGTCTAACGATGTTGTCTCTGTCT